AAGATTTCCAACTGCTACTTTGGGGTGTACGGTTTTTATTTTTTTAATACGAGAAAACTTAAATAATATTTATATTGTGACGGTATACTATGATTAGTAAACAAAATCATACGACAATAAAAGAAAACGTACATTATTTAACGCATAAAATATCAATTCATTTTGAAGTGCTTATACTTATCTACAACATATATTATTTTTTATACGTATTAATATTATACTCTGTGGCCTAAGCTCCCTTTCAATAATCCCAAGATCTTTGACTGTTATTTAAGTAGCTTTAATGTATGTCATTAGAATTTGATGTTTATGTAAAACATTTCGAAAGTAGCATTATTTTTTCTAACACGGCGTTATGTGTAGGCAAATTAGGTACACCTCGTCGTCACTTTAGTTCTACAGTTCTACTGTTATTTTTAATGCATTTCCCTTTTGGACATAATTGTATGATTACACGTATTTTATGCAAAGTAATTCACCAAAATATACTCACTACTTTTATTTGTCAATAATGCAATTATTCGAATTCTGGTTTTCGTATTTTTTTATGGTGCTTAGACCATACACGATTTAGATTTCAAATACTAAGATTTTGATTAACAATTCATTCTAAAAACGGTGGCATTCATTGAAAAAAAATTAGTTTGTATTTAATGGTTTTAATATCTGTTTGAAAATTCTTAAAATTAGTTTTAATAATTAGATAGTTAAAAGGGTAAACAGAACGTGATCATACTTCCTGAATTACCAAGCACATAAAAAAAAACCACTGCAGATCTGGCTTGTATCTGTATTAAAGCACAGTGTTTGAGTCCAACCGACCATAATGTATAGACGTATGGTAATAATAGTAATATTAATAATTATAATATACATCAAATGACTTTTTTTAATGCACACACAGTTATTTTTTATGACTCTAATGAAAACTTACTGGTTTCTGTTTCGATTTTCATCAATATTAGCCATTATATAAACCATAAAAGTTTCATACCATGTATACATATATGCCCATCAATTAGTTTTAAATCATCATTATAGGTAGTATGATGCGTAAAATTCATCTAACTTTGCCGCTAATTTATAAGTTATGATGAAAATCTTTTGGTCGAGTTTTGGTCGTTAAATATGTTTACGAGTAGAACCAATAAACCGAAAGTTTAGGAGTAATAAAAGAAAATAGTTGTTTAAACTTTGTTCGGAATACCCGTTTTTGACAATGAATTCATTACTCGCAACAACCAACATCACTTGGCGTGCAGTATATAGTAGATACTGCATCACCATTTATAATATGAAAACGCACTTGTGCAGTAAGAGGGAAATTATTAATTTTAGTCACATTAAGATTCGATTTTTTATCAACATTGCTTAACACGATTGTGTCCGATTTCGATGTATTTTACACAAGTTTTATTCAGCGTTGTAACTAAATATAGCAATATCATGCTTATAAAACATATTTAGATGTAGTTTTGTCATAATTTACAACAGATAAAATATAGTTATGAAAGTCACAAATTTTTTTCTATAAATCTTATGAATTGTCGTTAAAAAAATATTTATATCATTCTTGTAAAATATATTCAAAAATTAAACTGCGGAAAACAGTATTTGCGATTAGTATACATTCGCAACAACTGCTGTCAATACAATAATAAATCGTATTTCAACTAACCGGAAAAATAAATTTTTTATAATGACACCATGTCGCATAATCCATTACCATTGACCGATATTTTATTATGCCGCAGTTATAGAAGTTTTTAAAATCTCGTTAACAATGAATTCCTGTAAATACAAAAATAATAGTTTTTATTTAAATGATATACCCTCTTTGCGAGTACTTTTGTTCGTAAATCAAAAACTTTTTAGTTCGGTATGACATTTTAACATAATAATATTATACTCCACAAATGGGTTTATTCCTTGTTTAGTATTTTATTTTTATTTCATATAACAAAATTCTATTTTCACACTTCAAATATATATATTATACGTATAATATTGCTGATCTAGTAAAATAATACTTAAACATTTTTTTACACTCCACATATTCCCGGTTATATGAAATTGAAACGTATGCTTAAAAGTTACAACATGTAAAATCAAATCAAAATTGTAAATTTTTTTAAACTAAATACCTATAAAAAACAAATGAAAATTTTAGCATATGCATGGATTAATTTAGATGTTAACCAATTGTTAAAATAATTCTATAGCCGTATCGTTATAAATTTCTTCTAATTAGCTGTAAAACGCACCTGTTTTTTTTGTGAAAACAATCTATTCCAGTCTAAAATATATTGCCAGTAATTGATCCCAAAGTAAGGACGCTGTTCATTGTAATCGTTACTAAAACAACCTTGGTATAATACTTTTCCTGAAACATTCGAGTAAAATTATATTGAATTTATAAACCGGTATAATAGGCATAAGCAAAATACCGTTGAGTGCGACAAAATATTATGTCACATTAAAAAAAATTCTTCGAATATTATAAGCTTTTTGATCATTTTCTAACAATACCAGCTATATGTAAAATGCACATAAATACATTTGTTCCAGAATCGTGGGTCATCACTGTCATCTATAGTCTCGACTATTCTGTTAGGATACCAAAGTTACTACGCTTATTCACTTTGCTTGTGCTGTTTTATTATCATTTAACTACGCCGAGAAATTGTAGAAATTTGGGTCATTACGAAGAGATGCGTTAAGCTTGAGACATGTGACGTCAGATGCGTTCCGAGGGACAGGAAAATTGCCGAAGTCGACGTGACGAAAACGCGCCCACATCAAATTTACTTCGGATTAACTTGAAAACGCCTTGTAACTCGTAACTGTATTATAATAATATGCATTTCATTATGGTGCATGAGAGTGTGCCAGTGTCGTATGGTCATGAGAATATTTCAAATGCACGAGTGTGCAACGTGTTAGTCTAAATCGTTTTAGACGGATAAGCTCATAGTAGTAGTAATCATTGTTATTAGTTTGGTCTACGAATGCTAGGTGCCAATGAATGGATTCTTAATGGCGTCAAACGCTCGTATTTCATGTGAAATTGTTGTTGTTATAATAGGTGCAAAACGGTTAAATTTTCTTTGGTATACCTAATTAATAATATTGTATTGCAATATGAATTCGAAAAAGTCGATATTCGAAATCCACTATTAATAATATGCTACGAGTCACTACTCGATACATTATTATTACGCAAGACAAGGCTGTTGCTCTGTGAAAAAGTCAAGAGTTAAGCGTACAACAGATTTCATACAATCGTGTAAAATAAAAATATCATAAGTATATACCACGATAAAATGAAAATATTTTGAATCTCCCCCACAATTAATATAATTAACTTATATTGATAGTTCGTTTGTTTTTATTGCTGAATAATAGTATTGAAACTGTGTTTGTGGCACAAACGAATTTCATATATCGTTATTATTTAATGAGGCAATTTGAAATCCAACAGTGAAAACTCAAAATAATTATTTTTAATTAGAACAACATATTATTATTTTCAAATGAACTTAGCTGCAGTTGTAATGGTGTATATTTTAATTTAATTAAACGATCGTTATTTTTAATGTTTACGGGAGAGGAAAATGTATAATATAATGAAATTCGAACAATAGACTTTTATAATATAACATAGCATATGGTGTAATGGTAAATAGTTCGTGCGATCGACCATCAGTTTCAAAGCACATTTTTGTTTTTGTTTTATACAACGCGCGTTTGGATAAACTGTAGTTATAGGTACTATATTATGAGCATATGTGTGAATAAAACTAATTTAAATTTTGTTTTTCGTTTTCAACTACGTGGTAGCGTGTCTGGGAAGTTTAAAAAGTCTGACAATTTGTCAGTGAAAGGGGAAAGTTTCACATCACGAATACCATTGATAAGACGTGATAACATTCCATACCTGACATATTGTTACTTTCAATGTAAATTAAATTTAAAATGTTTTTCTTAATATTTTTATAAACACAATTTTACGAGAAATGTAGGGAAGTTTCCAACGAGCGAGTGAGAATAATGATAACATCTTAAAATATAGTACAACATTTTAATTTTGTACAACTGTAAAGAATGAAAATATAAAACGGCTAGTGTCCTTGCACAGACGTAATTTTACATACAGCTAGTATACTATTATTGTATAATCCGTAAAAATAAGACCAACATTTTATAATGTTACTATATATTATTATAAAATTCCGAATAAACGTACTTATATTAAGATTTAAATGTTTTCGATGGAACGCGATCAATAATAAATTCAAGTGTGCGTGCAGCAGTCGTAATTCGTGAAGCATAATATCATAAAGAGCACACCGACCCGGATTATATTATGTAATTTATTATAGTCCTTTACTTATATGACGTATAGCTGAATGCGGTATACTTACACGAGTGACGACTGCTGCTAGTGCTGCAGTTGTTACCGCGCCACGCAGTCTAGTACCGCGATGCGATAGATATCGACGCAGTATTTTACCATAACAATATTGTATACCTACAGCGTGGTACAGCAAGTAGACAGTTTCGTCTCTAAACATCGATTGCCCGCACTGTGGTTTTGTAAAATGTTTGATTTTTCGAAACATCCGAGAAAGTAGCTGTCACAGGTACTGCCACTTTACATCGATCAGACTTATTTATTTCACTAATTTTTAGACTTTTAAAAAAACAAATCTTTTCCCCGGTGACCAATGTTTTTAAGTGTTTTCGAGTCGATCGAGTTTAAGTAATGTGAGTAGGTAAGAATCATGTGCCAGTGAAACATACCCCCAAGTGTCAGAAGGGGCGGGGGATACTTGACAAAATAACTGGCCGAAAATTCGACCGAATACGAGGGAAAAGATTGAATTCGAAAAATCTCGACAGATAACCGGCCTGTGTGATCGGCCTGTATAATAATATATACAATATCAATAATGACATTAATGATATTCAACGTCCGTTTGTCGGTTTGTGTTTTGCAGGTCACGAGGTCGTTGCGAGCGATGCCGTAGTGGCGGTGGGGTGCCGGAATGACAAACAGCCCTGGGGCCTACCATGCCGCCGCCGCCGCCGAAAACAACCGTAACATCGGTCACGCAGCTGCGACGTCTACGTCGACGACAGCGCAGGGACGCCGCAGTCAGACCGACGCTTCTCACTACATCATGCCAGCGGACCCGTAAGACCTTTTTTGTTACATCGTTATTTTTATTTATTTATTTTTTACCACGCTCTCGTGCGTCACGTAGTCTGTACGCGATTTTTTTTTTTATCCAAGAGCCGCGAGGACGACAGCGAAAACTTATTATTATTATTATTATACATTTAAAATGTATATAAAAAAAAGGAAAAGCAATCAGAAACAAAAGTCTGGTAAGGTAGCCGCCTTTGAATCAACATAACAGTAATTATATTATTATCGTGTGATGTGTAATGTGGTCATACGTAATATACACTGCACACGTACACAGAAATATTGATGTTTTAACAAATACCTAATAATATTGAGTGATAAAGCAACTATACATTTTTTTATCGTAATTTAATGAAGTAATTATTCTATAAGAATTAATGCCTTGCCTATACCCGTAATATTTATTTTAGGCTTACATCCACCCTTGCTGTTCTCGTTATAGGACCGGAGAGCTTTATATTGTTGGGGTAGATATAGATGGCGAGAGTTGGGTTGGAATGGTCTAAATTCAGTAAGCCACAGTAAAGTTATTTTTTTCATTATTCAAAATCAATTTTTGTTCAACCACCTAAAAAATAATAACAATGAAACGAAAACCCTAAGGATAGAAAATAAATAAAAAATAACGAATAGTAAAATAAATAAATTGTAGAAGGTCTGACGGTTTAATCGACATCGAATATTATTTACGACTTTGGCCCTCTATCTATTCCGAGTACACCAACACATTATAATAAATATACGTACGTGTTCTGGATCAGTGTCCATAACATGTATTGTCTGTCCGTGTTCACGGAATCCCGAGCAAGTTTCATGGAGTTGTCGAGTACCTGTAGTTATTTTGCTGCAGTATAATTTTTTTTCACCCCACGTGAATTCTTCTTGACCTATATCGTAATTAATAGTGAATATTTTTACTTGGTTTTCATCCGACCTGGAAGGCGGTAAGAGTTCCGGAAAACTACGCTAGTAAATCGACTAAAACGTGCCACGGCCATGTTGTAGGTAAACTCTAGCCGTGGGACTCAAATGGGAGGTAGAGAGTATAACATCATATATGAAATGCGGAAATTGTGAATCGTTTATATAGTTAACGTTTGAAGCAAAAGCCGTTTACGCATGGACGAACGCAGCGGATCGAGCATTATATTACTCGATATGTTCGGAAGAACAGAGAGATGTTTCGTCACTATAGTACTGCGCGAGCGCTCCCCCCCCCCCACCAAAAAAAAATGTTTACGGAATGTGATTATGCTCGCCGTAAATCGTAATAGACATTATCGTGTGTATTTTTCGTTGTACACATACATATTATATCCTTATGAATCGATATCGAATCAAAGAGTGAATAAAATGGCACAATCGAAAAAATGTCGTATACTAAGTTCAAAAGACAAATGACGACAAGGACGCAGAAGAGGTGACCTCAAACAGACGATGTCAACTGCACTTGCAGGAAACACTCTCGAACCAGTGGATATTATTGTCTCTGCACATTTATAAATCGAAACTATAATTTACCTCCGGGAACGTATAATAATGATACGAGTAAATATAGTTATAATAATACTTTCGGCTACGTATATCCGCGATGACAATCGAAAACTTTTGCACTCACTCGATTTGACCTACATGTCGGCTTCCACACGGGGCACATATGCGGTCATAATAATAATAGCGTAAGTACAACAATTTAATATTATTATGACGGTGAAGCCACGAAGTTGTTTTTGTTGTTGTTTACCATCCAGTTTATTTCTATACATTAATGTCTTTGGTTTCGGATAAGCTCTATTTTTGTATTGTTCGTCGACCCTCTTCAAAGACTATTCTCGTGACGTTCGAACAGGTGTATATACATAAGTATTACTGGTGGAACAGCAGAGTTGGGTCCTCGAGACCGGTATGAAAGCCACGCTACAGGAGCTCGAGAAGCTGATTGTCGGGTTCGTGGATTCCGCTGTCATGTCTGGTGTGTTTTTTATAGTAAAAGTTCCTATTTTACTATGTTTATTTAATAATAACATCGAAAAAAATGCCTTAGAGGCGTCCCAGGTTGTCTGAGGCACTCATGTAAAATCGGAAAACGATGGAGACGGAGTGACGGTTCGGTTCGAGCAATGGTCATTGTCTATTATTTATGTGATGTGTATTATAAAGATGACATGCTTAACTCGAAGCGAAATAATAATATTATGATGATTTGATGGAGCTAAACCAGGAGCGATTAAATGCATCACTAAGATTGTATCACTATGATGCGTATGCTACAGTTCCGGGTACCTCATCCCTTTAAATGCAATGACTGCCGACATTCTTTGAACATTATGGTAAAATTAATATACTATAATAATCTCTTCTTCTTCTTTTCCCCGGGTTTAATATACTTCAGGACCATACCAGCTCACAACTAATTCCCCATCCTTCTCTGTCCAAACATATAGGTTCCTCCTATTAGAATTACTCCCCAAAATAATATCTTTGATATGCTTTTTTAAGCACTTTCCAAGTGCATTCTTGGTTTTCCTAAAGATTTTTTCCCGCAGGGTTGTGTTCCATCATTCAGTGAATTGTGAATTGTGATTTCTTCAAGCATTGCCTGCCAGCCCATCTCAATTCTTCTCTGCACATAAATTTCAATATGTCACTAGATATAATATAATATTGTTATATGTTTATACTCTTTGTTCACCTCCACTATCCCGTTATGCGTTATCATTGGCTTTGCCATATGTTCTCTGCATAAATTTTCTTTAAAAAATAATTAACTCATTTTCGTCGATTTTCCTTAGTTGCCAAGTTTATCCCCATACGCATCATAACTGGACGTATCTGCTGAGAAGCGTATATTGCTGTTTTTCATTCTTCTCCTGACAATGCTCGTGACTTTGGCACAACTTCGTGAGTTTATATTTTGTAATATTTACTTCCCGCTTGAATTATCGTAGCTACCATCGTTTGTTGTTTCGTTATTTTCAGTTTATTTGTACGCTTATATCATTATAATATACGCGCCGTAAATTCCCGATTATAAGTGACACGACATGTTTGTAGTTGGTCGTTTGGCGAATAAATCTCAAGCTTTATGCCGGTCGTTTTATATTACAATACCTATATAGGCGGTCAGTTCACGTGCAGTAATAATGTAGTATTGTAACGAATATATTTTCAAATCTTTTTCCCTTCCATGTTTAAACACCGTATACCAGCTACCATAAGCCGATAAACGCATTAGACATTTACACGCAAAATACAAATATATATATATATATATATATATATAATCGTATATATCGTTAAAACGTGCGCGAAGCTTAAACGTCGATTATGTTTTATTTATGCGACTTAAAAACAGCGCGACAATATAATAATAATATCATGTTGCCGAGGCGTGGCCGACATCCATACCATTTATATAGGACAAGAGGTATCAAAACAAAATTCGTAATAACACACAATATGATATCACGATACCCTCAAACAAATCGTTCGGTTGTTTTTTTTTATATATATTATTACATATATGTTTTGTATTAAACTATGAAAAATAATAAAATTTAATGACCGAAACGAGAACAACAACATGTATGGTAGGTATACAACTATATTATTATTACGGCGTAGGTACGTTGTGTCGGAGTTACACGGACATAAAATTTAATGAGATCTCGTAAAAAAAATAAAAATCCACGTTTGTATCAATATGTTTTGGGGTGGTTGGAGGAAGGTTGATACGGTTACAATGAAAAGGATAATAGTGCAGCGAAATATTAGTTTAAAAAAATAAAAACGCTTACACTGTATAGGTAGTTTTTTTTTTTATGGCACGTTCTTCAAGGAGAACCGTACTGAATACAAACTAACACCGAGAGAAATTCAAATGCTTAAAAAGTTATAATCCCGTTTTCGTAAGATTACAATATAATATATAACGTAACATCCGACATTAAATTCCGGGTTAACATGTTGTTCAATTTGGATTAAATGATTTAAATATTGTTAAATAAAGTAAGTTTCAGCATTTCAGTTTGAGCTTGTTCATTTTTTAGAACATTAGTCTGGATAGTATTCGAGTTTAAATGATTGAACTCTTTTTGGTATTGTGTGAAGTAGGTATAAATTTATGGAACATTTGAGATTCACAAAAATCATTAAATCTAAAGAATAAATATTAAATCAATTTTTAAAAAAACCGGAGATCTCGCTCCTGCTATTTTCCTACTATGTTTTGAGTGTAGTAGTTTCATCTTAATATTGTGCATTGGTAATTTCAATAATGTATGTATTTTAATTTTAATTGCATTATAAACAATTAATGTGTATGAAATAATAATTATGTGACTAGTGATTTTTTGAAAATTGGTGATGCGTAAATATTCTTCGTTTACACGTCATAGTTTTTGGTGAGTTTTTCCCAATTATAAGAAAAGTGATGAGATTTTTCCTATACTGGACCACAGTAGGTAAACATTTTTTATGCATCAAAATGACAATAGACTAAAAAAAAAATGTATACATTTCAATCAATAATCTATAAAGCGTATTCAATCAAAAGGACTATACTTTGATAATTATATTAACTTAACTGTGATTTGAGTAAAAAATGTTCAGTAAATATCTACAGTTATAATATACACGTTTCACTTTTAAATCATATTAAGCACGATCAAAGAACTTTGAGAAGTTTTATTGAATTATCGTGAAAAAAAAACTACATGATTGAAAACATTTACGAAAAGCCAAAGAGATACTAAATAACCTACTCGTATATAATACCATTACACATGACTTTTAAACATTCCGTTTCAAAACTATTAATCAGGAAAAAAGTTATCATCTGTAAACCATTGATATGTTCCTGCCGCACACTGTGTAAAGGAAAAAAATGTTCCCTACAAATTGATGTTATTTACCTTTCTATACGCCATACCTCGTACAGAATTGGACCACGTGATGGTAACAATACGACCTGTATCTACGCCGTT